TGTGACATTATTGGGGATACTGTTCCTGATAGCTTGTAGTCCATCTTTGTGTGGAATATTGGTGTAGAGGGCTTCTACGTCCATAGTGGCCAGGATGGTAGTTTCTGGAAGATCACAGATGGATTGTAGTTTCCTCAGGAAGTCAGTGGTGTCTCGAAGATAGCTGGGAGTGCTGGTAGCGTAGGGTCTGAGGAGAGAGTCCACATAACCAGACAAGCCTGATGTTAGGGTGCCAATGCCTGAGATGATGGGGCGTCCAGGATTTCCAGGTTTATGGATCTTGGGTAGCAAATAGAATACCCCTGGTCGGGGTTCTAGGCATGTGTCTGTACAGATTGCTCTCTGTATGTGTGTATATATATCTCCTCAATATATGTTTCACTCTATATGCATCCGAAGAAGTGGGCTGTAGTCCACGAAAGCTTATGCTCTAATAAATTTGTTAGTCTCTAAGGTGCCACAAGTACTCCTGTTCTTCCCATCTATGTATCACTGCACTGATCATAAGGATATCAAAAGGGCCTAAATATGAGTCATAGAATATCAGGGTTGGAAGAGACCTTAGGAGGTCATCTAGTCCAACCCCCAGCTCAAAGCAGGACCAATCCCCAGACAGATTTTTGCTCCAGATCCCTAAATGTCCCTCTCAAGGATTGAACTCAACGCTGGGTTTAGCAGGCCAATGCTCAAATCATATGTCAAAACGTTATAGATCTGAGATAAAACTAATCAAATCTCTCCTGTTTAAGTTTAAGGACTGGCTAGACTGCCTCTCCCCTCTTTCCACATTAAGCAAAAAATTTCATCTTAGTTTCATATTAAAATCCAGTCAATCAGCTGCCATTTTGGCTCTGCTGTACCTGTGCCTTGACTGTCAGCTGCTTCAAAGTACATTCACCATCCCAGCAAACACACAAAAGATGGGGAAGGTCAAAGTTCGGGGTAGAGAATTAGGTATCAGGCCAGCCTTCCCCGGTGTACTGTACACTCAGTGGTTGTACAAGGATTATTTGAGTGACTGGGAGAGATCCATTTACTGGAGACTGCACAAGAGAGGTATGGTTGTTTCACATATATTGAAAGTATTCAACCAAAAGAGAAGCAGCTGAAATCTGGAAATTTCAGGGCATTAATAGTAGTTTCAGGTAATATATTTGCCCATTAAGTTCCTGTGAATGTTTGCAGTTTTATATTAATGTTTTCATATCCTCTCTTGCTCTGTGAAAGACCCATACCAACAACAGAAACTAACTAAACAGGGGAAAAAATGCAACTGACTACACAAAAGCAAAAAGCACAAAGTAAATAAACTGAAAACAAACTTTATAGAAATATTTTTCATTTTTAGTCATTGTAGGCCTTGTCTAGACTAAGGACAATGGTGAGTTTTTAGAAATGTGTTAGCTGACATTAGAATTGGATGCTGTCTAGAAACTAGGTTGGATAAGTTTTAACTCTTAAAATTTTGTTAATATGTCATGGCTCATCCAATTTAAAAACACCCACTTCTTTCCTTAGTGTAGCTAAGGCATTAAGATTAAAAAATTAAAAAAAAATTCTGTTGTGTTTTCTGAGAGAAGTATAATTTGGTTTTTTTGTTTGGTTGGGTTTTTTTAAGTTGATGGTGTCCCTTTAAAGGAAATATTGCTTGTCCTTGGGTTTCTAGTCTAATCATTTGGAGTGTTGATTGGTTAGTACTGGTACAAGAACAAACTAGGACTAAATTTATTACCATTTGCCTAAGGTAGAGGAGTCAGGTGTAATTACTGTAAAGTAACTTATACGTGTTGGAAACAGCAAAGAAAATGTTGCACTCGTAGCAATCTGCATTAATGTTTCTGTAAATTTGTTCGGCGTCTATAGTGGTGGTAATTTGTAGAATTCTGTCTGAAGATATATGTTAAATAAGACTGACTGAAAAACCAAGTGTACAGATTGTAAAGATTTTTTACATATAAGTAAGTTTTCTTTGTGTAATATTTATATTATAAAAGTTGCTAAAAACAGAATTAATGCCTATTGTAATTTTTTTTGTCCCATAAGCATCCAAAGCCTTTTTCTCTGGCAGACTTGCCTGATGCCTAAAATACATCCAACAAAATCTCTACTCTGAAATGAGCATCTCTGCATGATGAACTATGAGCTTCAGGATATTTCTTTCACCACTTCCATTCCCATTCATCTTCCTTCAGTCTAATATCTGATGCACATATGGAGGACAGATTGACATCTGAATGGTCTTTTCCATTGTTAACTACTACAATCCTTACTTTTGAGCTCTACCTCTGCTTACTCATGTAAGTTACTATGTTTTCTCAAAAGCTGTTACTTCTTGAAACTCTGTAGTTGGCCAAGACTTTTGCCACACACATAGCTTCCAGGCAGAAGGCTTTGTCTTCATTGACATAAAGCCTTTTTTTCCTCCAGCAAGATAACTGATGCACATTAGTTATCTCACTGTAAAACCCTAAGAGGAGACAATTTTTGTAGTGTTTGCTGAGGCAGCTAGGTGAGGTTGCATCATATCCCACTTGTAATTGACCTCACCTAGTTTATCTTAACAGTAAAACTAAAGAGCCTTTCCTCCATTATGTTTTCACAGGATAGCTAAAGCCTATTAGTTATTCCATGGGGGAAAAAAAACCTATACAAACATGCTATGCTTTCCTCTTTATGTTCAAAACGGTCTCCTTTTCAAGGACAGAACTGGAGACAAATTAAACATCATGCCATCTGGACTAATGCAGTAGCCTGGCCAGAAATGTGTTAATGTATTCATCCCACCAATTCTTGTGAGGCTTTTATTTTTCATAAAATACTTTAAAAAGCACATCACTTCCAGTTCAATTAAAGTTAGTGGCTACCAGAGCGAGCAGAACTGTCTCAAGAATTCAAAATGGCAGACAGACCTCAAGATATTTCTTTTCTTCCCATTAACTCAAAGTTAGTTCTTCCATTCTTGCAAGCTACCAATAGGAGACCATTCTTTAACATACAGAAGCAACTTATGACAGATGACCTAAACCACACTGTATAAAAGACGCAAACAAACTTTAAATACAGTACTTTATTTTTCAGTGTTCACAGCTATTAAAGTGTTTTCTTAAATTCTGAAAATAATTTCCCCCCCCCACTCTCAAACCACCCTCTCACCCCCACATTTTGGATGGATGATCACTAAATGAGATTAAAAAAAAAACAAAAAAAACCAATGTTCACAAACATACAACAAAATCCATATTACCCTCCCAAAACACAAGCTGTATTTACCCAAAACCAAAGTCTTGAAAATTCATTATTCAGGACGGAAACATAAAAAAAGATTTTGAGAACAGGTTTAAATCAAATCTATTTTTAGAAGATTTTATTGCATCTTTTGAAAGTTAAAAACCATACATACTGAACAAGGGAGACACAAAATAATGTAATCTCTGAAGTGTACGTACTTGTTCATTTTACTTTCTTAATGCTTCAGATTTTGGAAGGTTATAAGAAAGTTTCAATGGGCAAATTAAAAAACCCCAATTTATTTCACTTTTATTTTAGATCTGTTTTAGGTCTGGTCTACATGCTGAAGATGCACTGATATAACTAAAGGTGTGATGTTGCACCGATTTAGTTAAATTGGTATGACTTTGTGTGGCCACTCTTACATGGGTTTAAACTTGATTTATGTCTGTCTGATTTATGTCAATCCTGTCACAGGCATGCTAAGCTAGTTCAAAAACAATGTAAGAGTGGCTACACACACAAAGCTGTGCCTGTTTAACTAAAAATCAGTAAGATATTTCACTTTTACTTAAACTGTTGCAACCATAGCATATAGACAAGCCAGATTTTCCTAGCCTCGGCCTCTTGGTGCTATTCAGATGTCCTTTGTAGCAGAAGTCATCAAAACACTACATTGGGACAAACAGGCAGAATTTCAGCTTAGGGACTGTGTGTGAGAGAAAGGGAAACTGTTCCCTTCCTTCCCTTTCCCTCCTGGTTGTTCTTCTACAGAGCCAGTTTGAGGACAGCAGAGTTCTGTATTAAACTTTTGTCCCCATCCTGACCGAAGTATCTGACAGGGCAGAGCTAAGCAGTGGAAACACTGCTCTCCACACTCCCTACCTACTTCTCTCTCTAATGCAGCAGGAGGCTGTCAGTGACTCCCATCTAACACAAGAAGCATGTGCAGAGAGGAACTGGTGGTGATGTTGTGTAGTGTCAGAAGCGGAGTGAAACAGTCAGCTGACAGCTACAGTAGGCTAGGAGCTGCTGATGGAAAAGTCACTTTCCTAATTCTATGAACAGCTTTTTCAAAAGAGTGCCCTTTGGTTGCTCATGACCCCATTACTGTAGGATTCAAGGGTTCTCTGCTCACACCAAGCTGACCTCAAAGTGGAAGCAAAGGGAAGTAGAGTTTTCCTTCAGTACTGTTTAGCTCACTTCTGCCACAGATGTCCTAAGTAGTGCTCTCAGCCAGTCTCCAGTCAGGATAGGAGGTCAGGGCTGGGAAAAACTATATTCAGTCTAAAGGAAAAGTTCAAATAAGGAGTTTAAAAAAACAACAGAAGTGTTGTTATAACTAATCTTACAAGATTAGAGGAAGATATTTGAGGGAGAGAGAATAATTTTTAATGTTGAATATAGCCTTGGGCCATATTTTGGCGCAAATACATGTACATGAGGCTCCTGCTGGAGTCAAGGGGACCCATATGGGACCCCAGAACCAGAATATGTTAGGCTGGGACATTCATGAGAAGTTAATAAAGAAGGATCCAGCCTCAGAACTCTAGCACATAAAAACAAAAAGCAGGCCCTATTCAGCTTAAAGCTACTACTGCAGCTACATAGGCTACGGAAACTCTTCAAGTTTTCTGTGCTCTGTAGTCAGGGACACTGCTCCCTCCGTTTTGAGAGACTTTCTTCTTGGCCTCAGCCACGTAAGTTACTCCCCTTTCCCAAGGAAAGGCTCTGATTCTGCTCAACTCAGATGTTATTCATGGTAATCAGACCCTGGGGACTCGTCTCAAGAGTAGACACGTCTAATGCCTCCCCACTAAGCTGGCCAACAGCTGGGGAGTAAACAGGCTGGACAACCTAAAGGTCTCTCTCTAGCTGACCCCTATAAATTGGAAGTTAGGACTTGTCTACATAGGGAAATTTACTGTTATAATTATACTGCTATAATTACCCCATGGACACACTTATTTCCAAATAAGAGTGCCCTTTTCTGGTTAATTTGTGTCACTTCCAAGCACTTAGGAGACAGTGGAGCCAATAGGGCCAAATAATAGGGCCATATACATCTCTAAAAATCCTACATGATTATGATCCTCACCAATTTCAATCAAAATGAGAGCACCCAAACTGATACAAAGAATGAGTGGAGTAGTGTTTTGGGGCAGGAAGCAAAGGAAGAGAAAAAGGATCTCATCCTTGCAACTGCAATTATTTTTGGGGAGGTGGCAGAAGGACATTGTGAGCTCCCCTTGCCCACTGACCAAATACCAGACACAGAGCCTGTGACTGACTTCCTTCTCAACAGGACAGTTCAGGGCACAGTCATCTTACTCAGCCTTCTGGGGCTTATGTGTTACAGAAGACTGTGTAAGTGACCGCTGGCTAGGTGTTAGATGGTTGGGGAAATTTTTCATCACAGGTAACAGGGTCTGATTTTAAAGTGAGGTTCATAGAGTGCCACTTTTAGCAAATCATTTTCATTTTACCTATCAAGGCTCATCACAAATCAATTTTTACAATGCAAGTTTTTGGCTTTGAAATATTTGTATACATTATAGATAAATACAGCATAGCCTTGTTTTGTTGACCATGGAATAGCATGGATTCAATACATCACTTGGAAACAATGAAGTTTTTTTGTTTTAAATTTTTTTTAGAGTATTTTAGATTTACTTCTGATGTTACATTTTTTTCAATTGTTCCATACAGAGGACTGAAAGAAGACAAGAAGCAGCAACCAGCACTCTACAGTCCTTTTAAAGCATATAAAACTAAGTATGGCCTACAAAGCCAAATGCCTCCTAAATCATTTCCTGTATTCTGGATATGACAGGCAATAATTAAAGAGATCTGAACATAAAATAGTAACATTGAAAAAAGGAAAATTCATTGTTTCTATTCACTTTTCCGGAATTTGTTATTTAAAAAACCAAACTGTTCAAGAATACACACATGAGCAGTGCAAAAAGGGGACTACTTTAAGACATCACATTTCGGTATAAAAAAATGTTCAGTTGACTAACAGGATTAAATAATATCAGGGATCAAATGCAGTGATTCATTAATAAAGAGATCATAATTAACTTTCCTAACACTAAACCATTGCTAATATACACACCTCTCGCTACCAGTAAATATCACAACCATGTTTTGTCAGTTATTAGTATTTACAATGTTGTTGTTAGTATCTTCTATATCCTCCTCCTCCTCCCCTTCCACCATATGGATCTCCATAGCCGCCTCTGCCACTGTAACCCCCCCTGCCCCCATAGTCTCCCCGTCCTTGGAAACCACCTCCACCTCTACCACCACCACTGAAGCCACCACCTCCTCCCCTGCCACCTCCTCCCCCCCAACCACCCCTTCCACCACCACCTCCTCCCCCCCAACCACCCCTCCCACCACCTTCTTGTCTCTTCTGCCAAGGGGGCATTTCAGGAGGTGGGGGCTCAATCTCAGTTGGTCTGCCTCCACGGTCTGGCACTCTCCCCATCAGGACCTGTGTACAGAAATACACAATGCTTATGTTTAAATAATAATAAGGCTGCTGAAAGGATGTAGAAGTTATCTTGTGGATGAAGCGCACGTGCCTACTCATCACAGGGAATGCAATACTACCCAGAGTGAGGACTTCCAAGTTATCATCCCATGTCTGCCACAGACTTGCCATGTGACAATGGACAGCCTCTCAGAGTCAGTTTTCCATCAGTACCACCAGCTAGCTACTGCCTAGGGTGGTCAGGTTTAATTGTTTATAGTGAGCGTTGAGATTTTTTTAAATCAAAGGTGCTACATAAGGGCTATCAATGCTCATGGCTCCTTAATCCTTATATTATGATGCTATTTAAAAATTCAACTAGAATGGCAAACATTGTTCAAATCCCATCAGAAAATACTGCAATGACAACTACAGTGGGTAGCATATATGATCTGACAAAACTGGTAACCATATGCAGCTATAAAATGGTTCATTGCTTTCTTTTCAATCAGGCATTACTGATGCAGTGCAGAGAACTGAAAAAGCAACAAAGTCCATAATGCAATGCTATAGTAGCACCTTCAAGTGAAAAGTTATCTTGAGAGTCACTTGACATGAACTGATGTACAAAGAGAACATTATTGGGAAAAAATATTCACACAGCATGTTATCATTCTAACATGAAGAGACACTGTACTCTAGTCAGCTTACATCTAAAACGGTCATGCAGAAAGACATGGAGTTTTAGTTACCCAAATAGCCTGTTGATAATTTTCTTGCTTTCAGAGGTTCTCTCCCAACCCCACACATAATGTATACCAACATGCAAGCTACTCAGATCACGCTCTGTCAAAATAGCATTAACACATACTGTATACTAAAATAGTATTTACAAAAACAAGGAAGCATGTGTCAAGTAAACCCTTGGATTCCAGTTGGCCACTTACGTGATGTCCTGGGATCACTCTGATGCCAAAGGGACATATCAGTCTTGTTTGACATACAACCCTTGAGTCTAAGGCCTGGTTTACACTGGAGGGAGGAGGAAGGAATCTAAGTTACGCAACTTCAGCTACGTAGCTGAAGTCGACGTACTTAGATCTACTCACGGCGGTGTCTTCACTGCGGTGAGTCGACTGCTGCCACTCCCCCGTCGACTTTACCTGCGCCTCTCGCAGCGGTGGGGTACAGGAGTCGACAGGAGAGCGCTGGGGGTTGATTTATCGCGTCTAGACTAGACGTGATAAATCGACCCCCGCTGGATCGATCGCTGCCCGCCGATCCGACGGCTAGTATGGACATACCCTTACTCTTTCATTACTATTCAGGACACTGCCTGATCCACATCTAATGTCTCCTCTTGTCTCCAGCTCACTCTCTTGATCTGCCCCTCTCCTGCTGCTTCTCAGTTTCTTGCTCTTTTGACCCACACATACTTCATGATCTAACCAAACCACCCACTTCCCAAGTATTCCAAAGCCAGCCCTCCCCTAAGTCTGCCTGTGTCCAACCTGCAATACCCATTCCTTTCAACTGGCTGCTGCACCCTGCAACCTTACTCCATTTGCACCCCATCCCATCTGCTTCTACTTTCCAAACCCTCAGCAATCTGCCCCCTTCGCTCCACCCATCACTGCAATTCACATCAAATAGGAATCCTCAGCAAGATTCCAACTTACCCCTAAAATAAATAAGAAATATGGGAACTGTAGTAGTGATTATGTATTCCTTCTAAGGCGGCTTTGGAAGTTTGTAGATAGGTGGTTAAGAAGTAATTTGTTTCATCTTCATTTGAGTAATTATGAAAAAAATTATAAACTAATAACAATGTTTGCAGTTTTTGAGTTTCATCATTCATATGTAGCTATCACATTTACATAGGTAAACCACAATATATATTTTTTTAATTTTGTAGTAAGAATTTCATTCCCATAGACGCCTGTTGTGCCTAGTTTCAACAAAAAGTTTTAAATTTATCAAGGAGTTATAAATCTCAGAACATTGGGCCATAATGAAAACGGTTTTAAATCCTTAGCTGTTATGGTATGCATAATATTCCTGTGATGGAAGGAATTACAAAAACCTGATATTTAGTAGCTAAGGCCTTCATCCTAGAAGCACTTATGTATATGCTTAACTTCAGACAAATGTAAAGTTAAGCATGTGCATAATTGGGGCCCATTGCTGTAAATAAAGTACCAAGAATTAATAATGCATTTGGACATATTGGCTACTACCTTTAGCTACAAGTCCTGAAATAGACTATAAACCCCATGGAGGTCCCTTTACAGCTTTGGGGCTTTACACTGTTAAACACTTGTCACTACTAAAATGAACCAACGATCTATCAACAATAAATATGTACAAAAATAATATTCCCCAGGCAATATGATTTCTAATTAGGCAGCAGAATTAGATGTTACAAAAGAAATTGGTGGAAACAAACTGTCAGAAATAAACGACAAAGTCATTTTAAACAAGACGCAGGTGGGGGAACCATGCAAAGCTGGATTTAGCAAGGTATAAAAAAATTAAATATGAATAGTTTCAGTAGCAAGCTATTTTCTGATTAAAGTTCATGTCATTTTATGATTTTGATGAGCAGTTAAAAAGTGAGAATCTTTTTTCCATTATGATTTCATCACAGAGTATAGTATATAGTCCGAATAACTCATTTGCAAGTAATTATGACCATAATATTTCTTAATCATGGAGACCACTTTCATTAAATAGTTACACAAATTGTGAAAAGCATATTTATTCTCAACTGTGATTTCAAAATATCTGACAATTTACATTGATCAGACAAGCGCCTCAATAATATTAAGCCTCAGTTCCTCACAGTCCCAATTTCAAATTCTGTTGGTTGAGCAATCTGGAAATTCACTTCATTTCACTAATTCATAAAAAGAATCATCGCAACAAAGTTTCTCCTACTCAAGAAACAATGTACACTAACATCTCTTGTGACTTGAGTCCCTGTTAGCGAAGCTACAATGAGCACTGATGACCAATGACAAATTCAGTTTTTCTCTGAGGTCCCCCTTGCAAGAAAATGTTTGGATGCTCTTCAGATTGCTCAAGATTCCTTGCAGGGCTGTGGAAAACCACTTTGACAGTCTCTACTGACTAGAAGATTTTGAAGCAAACCTAGGGAATCAAAAAGTGATATCTGATCATTTTTTTCTTGAAGTATCCAGGCTTGCCATTTCTACAATGGGTTTCTTCTGCTCTGTAGCTTCAAAAAAGCAGGACCACACCTGTTAGCTTCCAGGGAAGGCTAGGCTGTCCCTTTGAGAAATCTGCCCAGTGAAGCTGCTTCCGAAATTGGAAAATGTATAAGAATTCTTATGAGAGACAGGGTGGGTGAGATAATATCTTTTGTTGGACCAACTTCTGTCTGTGCGAGAAACAAGCTTTCGAGTTTACACAGAGCTCTTCTTCAGATCTGGAAAACTTACTCAGGCCAAGTCTATATTTCAGACCTATATCGGTATGATTATGTCACTCAGGGGCATGAAAAATCAACACCCCTGAGCAACAGTTATACGGACCTAACCCCCGTGTAGATAGCACTATGGGAGAGCTTCTCCTGTTGACATAGCTACCGGCTCTCGGAGAGATGGATTAACAATGCCAATGGGAGAAACTCTCCCGTCAGCATGGTAATGTCTTCACTAAGGGTATGACTATCCGGCGGGTAGTGATCGATCTATCGGGGATCGATTTATCGTGTATAGTGTAGACACGATAAATCGATCCCCGATCGCTCTGCCGTCGACTCCAGAACTCCACCACGGCAAGAGGCGGAAGTGATTCTAAGTCGATCCAAGATACGTCGACTTCAGCTACGCTATTCTCGTAGCTGAAGTTGCGTATCTTAGATCGATTTCCCCCCCCAGTGTAGACCAGGCCTAAAGCACTACAGCAGCTCAGCTGCACACCACTGCAGCACTGTACGTGAAGACAAGCCCTGAGTAAGTTTCCCAGAGCTGAAGAAGAGCTCTTTGTAAATTCAAAAGCTTGTTTCTTGCACCGACAGAAGTTGGTCCAAAAAAGACATTACCTCACCCACCTTGTTTCTCTAATATCCTGGGATCGAGACGGATACAACAACACTGCATACAACTAAGGATTCTTGTGACATTTATGGCCATTTCCTGCAATATTCTGGAAAAATCTTATTGAATTAAGTTTAAGTACTTTAGGAGTTCGTTGTATTAAAAATGCAACTGTTTATGTATTACTGTGGGGCTGTATGGAATGTCTTTAGGAGGAAGACAGGATTAAGGTGATCTCTAGGAAGTACCGTGAGCTTCAAAAAACTATGCTGAACAATGTAGCAAACACGAGTGATCTTTTGGGACAATACGTCTGAAGTGGAATTCCTAGGAAATACTTGGAGGAAGGGATTGTAAACTCCCATCTCCATATTCAGCCTTTGAAACTTCACCTTGAGGGACCTTTGGTCTGCTGCTCATCTGTTAGATGAGGACAGTTCAAAGACAAAAGAGACACATGAAGTCGTCTGTGCAACAAGGTGGATCCTGGCAAGCTGATACTATGGACCCTGCTGTCCACTTCCTGACTCCCGGCTTCATCCCCAGTTCCTGCCTTCAACGCTGCCCTGTTTTTGGCTCCTGTCCCATGTCTTCTTCCAGTCCCTGAACCCTGTCGGCCTGGTGACTGACTGCTCCGGCTCAGACCCTAGACTATGGCTCTGACTTCCAACTCAGCAGTGTCCCTTCGCTTCACCTCCTGTTTCTTGTATGACCCCAGCTCCCACTTTTGGCTCAGACACCTGGCTCCTGATTCTGGACCTACCCCTTGGCCTCAGGTTCCCGAACACCAGGCCAAACCACCCACAACTCGGTCGCTGGTACTGGTTTTCTACAGACCCTGTGTCATGATCGGAATGTGGGCAGTCTGACCTAGTGGTCGGAACAGGAGTCAGGAGTCAGATGCCAGGAGGTCAGAGCCCAAGACAGGCCAAAGGGCAGACCGAGAGTCAGGCATCAGGA